TCCTAGCACTCTTTACATACTCTCACTAGGGTTCTTTGTCTTGCGGCCAGAGAAGGCGTCATAATCTGTTTCAGTGACATGCCGATGATATTAAATAAAAAATAAACTAGAAAGGGCCGATGGAATACGAGACCAGCTTTAAAATGAAGTCACGATATTAACAGTGCTTTAAAAGTAAATAGTGCATTGGAGTCATTCCCGATGCTTTCAAATGATGGCGGACTCCAACGACGCCAATAATCTGGAACAAAACAAGGTCATTATATATCGGATCACGTCTAAACACACGGGAAGAAAGACTTGTGCAGGAAAAAAACGTGAGCGGACAAAACCGGGGAATGCCGATAAATCAAGTAATCCCGTAATGATGAACGAATTACACAACATGAACCTTCCTCTGCGTCTTCCCCAAAACCACGCTTAGATCTACGAACTGAACTTACAGATACCAAAGTGCCTACGAATGGATGTTGAGCGCGGCGAGCAAACGTAAATGTCTTGTTTACCCAATGAAAGCCATCACAATAAACTCTGAGCTTGCATCGAGATGCTAGTCCGGACGTAAAGGAGCGTTTGATTAATCAATCTAAAACAGATCTTAAGGAATAAAAACCCAGATGATCTGGAATACTTGTCTGAGTATGTCGTTGGCAGTGGGAGCCACGTGCAGTATTATCATGCTCGCCAATTGAAGTTATTGTGTAGAAAATATCGCACAATTACACAGACGAGGGTAAAAAAAGAAAACAAAAAAAAAACAACGCGAGGAGAAACTTAGCACATGGAGCTAAGATAGATTGTCAGTGCTTTAGGTGACCATGCACGGCTACCAATGGCTTGGCCAATCGCTTGGCCAATGGCTCGTACACACAACGAATCGTGAAAGTCCGTAATTAACGACCTCCGAAAGAAGTGAGCCCACCCCCCATCGCCTGAAAATAGAGGAACTAAGGTTCAAAAGTATAATTATTTTTCCGATCAATAACGGATAACTTGAATGACGTACGATAAACTGATGACGATTCAACTAGGGAAGGTATAGCTTATTCCAGGAGGTCATGAAGCGCCCTGGTAAAGCAAACCCCGCAAAGTTTGAAGAAGAATTTCAAAACGATTTATAAGAACTCAGTGTTTTTACAAATTACACCCACAGCCTTAGAGGAATACAGCCCTGTTCTCATAGAATTAAAAAAAAAAACACACCGGGAAGAGATACTTACAGTAGAAGTTCTCGCGCGTTTAGAGATGCGCCACACTTGCGTTTTAGGTGCGGGGATTCCAACCAATGCTTACCTAACTTTTTAAAGATGCTACTTTTAGCCCTCCCCCAAATCTACACACATGTTTTTCACTTGTGGAAGTCTTTCGATTTGGACAGTGCTTGGGTGAGAGATTCTCGCCGCTATCAACTTTCTTTTCTCTCGTAAGTTCTCGCGCGTTTAGAGATGCGCTACACTCGCGTTTTAAACGCGGGGATCCTAATCAATTCTTACCTAACTTTTTAAAGTTGCTACTTTTAGCCCTCCTCCAAATCTACACGAGTGTATTTCACTTGTGGAAGTCTTTCGATTTGGACAGTGCTTGGGTGAGAGATTCTCGCCCATATTGACTTTTTTTCTCTCGTAAGTTCTCGCGCGTTTAGAGATGCGCCACACTCGCGTTTTAGGTTTAAGGTTCTTAACCAATGCTTACTTGACTTTTTAAAGATGTTACTTTTAGCCCTCCCCTAAATCTAGACAAGTGTAGTTCACTTGTGGAAGTCTGTCGCTTTGGACAATGCTTGGGTTAAAGATTTTCGCCCATTTATATCTTTTTTTCAGTCGCGTGTTTTCGCGCGTTTAGCGATGCGGCACACTCGCGTTTTTTATGTGGGGATCCCAATCTATGCTTACGGGGCTCTTTAAAAATGCTAGTTTTGGCCCTCTCCCAAATCTACAGAAGTGTATTTTACTTGTTGAAGTCTATCGATTTGGACAGTGCTTGGGTTAGATATTCTTTCCCATGTCAATTTTCTTTCCTCCCGCGTGTTGTCGTACGTTAAGCGAGACGGCACACTCGCGTTTTAGATGTGGGGATCCCAAACTTTGCTTACCTCGCTTTTCAAGGATGCTACTTTTAGCCCTCTTCCAAATCTCCAACGTGTATTTCACTTGTGGAAGTGCTTTACAGTGCTTGGGTGGATATTTTAAACCATGTCAATTTACTTTTCCCTCCCTTTTCCTCTTTTCTCGCGCGTTAAGCTATGCGGCACAGTCGAACTTTTGGTGTCGTGATCTTAAACTATGCTCACTGGGCTTTGTAAGGATGCTAGTTTGGCCATCTTTTAAATTTACACATGTGTATTTTTTACTTGTGGGAGTCTTTCGATTTGGACGGTGCTTGGGTAAGAGATTCTTGCCCATATCAACTTTCTTTTCTCTCGTAAGTCCTCGCGCGTTTAGAGATGTGCCACACTCGTGTTTAAGGTGCGGGGATCCCAACCAATACTTACCTAACTTTTTAAAGATGCTACTTTTAGCCCTCCCCCAAATCTAGACACATGTATTTCACTTGTGGAAGTCTATCGATCTGGACAGTGCTCAAAGTCGCCGAGACCGCGCTACGCGCAGCGTGATTTTCACCAACTTTGGGTCGATTTCCAGGATTTTGGGCGATATTTCCGAGTCCCAGGGACTCTAAACTAATTCGAGAAGACTTTGGTTTTCAGTGAAAGGGGCAGAGGAAAAATCTTTGAACGCTTGGTCATGAACAGTCTGGCCGAAATAGAGCTCCTCTTTAACTCACTTACTGACAAGAAAGTCGCCGAGACCGGGCTACGTGCAGCGTGATTTTGGCCAACTTTAGGTCGATTTCCAGGAATTTGGGCAATATTTCCGAGTCCCAGAGACTTGAAACTAATTCGAGAAGACTTTGGTTTTCAGTGAAATTGACAAAGGAAAAATTTTTGAAGGCTTGGTTATGAGCATGTTTTTTTTTCTTTTTTTTTTTCTTTTTATAAATTCTATGAGAACAGGGCTGTATTCCTCTAAGACTGTGGGTGTAATTCGTAAAAACACTGAGTTCTTATAAATTGTTTTGAAATTCTTCGTTCCAGTTCAAATTTGTGTTGCTGGCACATGGGTGGGCACTTTATATGCAGATCGTAATGTAAGATACCTTAAACTATTTTTACTGCTTATGATGCACTGCTACGTTAGTCTGCTTTATAAATATTTAACTGCTCTGGTCGAGTTTTTAATTTCAATATGATTAAACATTCTTTTTATGCGTTCCTGTTAAAAATGATGCAACGTTGTCAATTTTAGTAATTTTAATTTGAAGAAAAGGTCCTGTTAGTACCTTCTCGTTACTTGATGAAAACTTTGCGGGGTTTTATCAGGGCGCTTCATGACTCCTCCTGGAATAAGCTATACCTTCCCTAGTTGAATCGTCATCAGTTCATCGTACGTTATTCAGGTTATTGATTGGAAAAATAATTATACTTTTGAACCTTAGTCCCTCTATTTTCGGGGATGGGGGTGGGCTTACTTCTTTCGGAGGTCGTTACTTACGGACTTTCACGATTCGTTGCTTGTACGAGCCATTGGCTAAGCCATTGGCCAAGCCATTGGCCAAGCCATTGGTAGCCGTGCATGGTCACCTAAAGCACTGACAATCTGTCTTAGCTAGCGCTCAATGTACTAAGTTTCTCTCTCGCTGTTTAAGCTCGGTGTTTTCTTTACAAAATAAATTACTGAAGAATGGTTTTCAACCATACAGTGTGCAATCAAAAAGACTCCTATACCATTTATTACATTTATTATCTTTTACACAACGTTACTCGGCTACACTAACCTTTGCTATTCTAACAGCTAAGAACTGTTAAAATGTACCTGTTCTTGGTTTCACATTCAGGAAAGAAATTAATAACTTCATTTTTTTTACAATTAGGATAGATTAATGCAATCTCGAGATCTCTGATATTTTCCCGAGTAGAAAGCAAAGTGTGCCTCTCGGTTTACCCTTTGATTTTCATATTGATGTTTTTGTTTACAAGTGCAACTATAATCTGCAACACAAATACCCTTTTTGTTTGGTCAGTGTAGAATACATCTTCGTATTTAATGTATCACCAGCCCGGCATGCTTATTTAAACTTATGTTCATATAATTTGCACAGCTTTTAATACCACAAAACGCAGCTGATTTGAAATCAATTCTTGCATACGATGCCTGCGCGCGCAGTACGCGTACGAAAGACAATCAAACTCGAGCTGTTTTTTTCGAAACGACATGATTAGAGTCTTTTATTTCGCAGCTAACAAGATAAAGACAGTGTAAAAGTTTGTTTTGATTTCTTCTAATACATAACTCGAGAATTCTGGTTTAATTTGACAAAGGACAATATATTTTGTTTAGAACCAGACAACTATTTTCCTTCCTGGCGACATTCGACGAACTACGAACGAGTTGCCGGACACGGACGACCCATTTTTGTCGCCAAATTAAAAGCTTGGAGACAAAGTGTTTCAAATATTTCACTTTTTACAATCTGTTATATATCGTATGGTTTTTGGAATTCTGAATTCTTTTTCGTGACTATTCAATGCCGTCTCCAGTGAAAAAAGTTGCCCGACTGCGATGCGTTTCCTCAGTGTTAACATGAAGTCGGGACAGTACAGTTTTCCCCGCCTTTAGAATCCTGATTGGTCAATTCAAATTCCAGGCGCGCCAGCCGTATGCAAGAATATGCGGGGAAAGAACGTTACGAGCAAGTTATCTTTGGAATGTACTCTAATCTGAGGTTTAATGGAGTTCTGTTGGGCTCTAATGGTTATGGAATGAACACAATGCCAATACTACAATCTTGTTCCCAATATTTGAAGAGCTGGAAGTTGCCAGAATATGGTGGCGCAGTATAAAACTAAAAATGTATATTTTGGGCGGGAACCTCTTGGGTCATGGGTCCGAGTAATTCAGCTTTTGTTTGATGAAAACAAAATAGTACAAAACACACAGCAATTACAATTTAATTTGTATATTTTTTATTTGTGATAATTAAACAAAGAAACCCATTATCACACATTGCAAGTCATTGAGTCAACGTTATTCACCTAGCACCATTTTATTTCATCTTTGAAATAATTATTTTTTGACATGAAATTTTTTCAATTCTTTTTATGTGCTGCAAGAAACTTTGAACCAAACGATATCCTTTGATAACCAGTGCCAAATGTAATTAAGCAAAAAGATATGGATCCCTAGGCAATCGATTTTTTTCCAGCTTTAATAGTCGGTCTACGACCATTAACACCCTTCTTAGGATGAACTGAAAAAATTTGCTTCTGTCTTAAATATTTGAAGTCAAACTTTACATGCTTCTTTTAATTCTTGCATTGTAAAGTCGCTACGGAATTGAAGATGGGAAGTCTTGGCTCGGCCGTTGCACGGAAATGGTAGGTTCTGCTCCTTTCTATTAGATCTCCGTTACGTTTGGGATCGGTGATCGCATCACGTTTGGAGAGAGCCTTATTTACGCCAGATTTGCAGTTTCATCTGGAATCTTGAAATTGTGTGTTTACACCGTGGACTCCTACAACCAAGATAACAATCAGTTAGAACATTTAGGCCCTTTCTCCCTTATCAGTAAAATGCGATGGGTATTGTAAGAGACCAAATCTACAGTCATCTACTCTTTCTGTCTGTCCTATTAGTATCTTCTTCAGTAATTCTTTACACCCAAAACGATGCTTCTAAATTTCATTAACGAGTCTTGTTCCGATTAGTTTCCCTTTTTGTGAAATGTTATCAAACAACTTTTGGCACGGTGGTGGTGTTCAGAGAATGAACAGTGTTGCATTGTTTCATTCGCTGATCTGACGAAAAAGGCAAGCCACAGATTTAGGTATTTTTTCCTTCATTAATAGTTCAATGTTGAACTCTCAGCAATACACAAAAGCATAACTCTCGAAACATCAGCTGCTTTTTGTCTAAAAAGGCAATTATCGTGTAGTTTGCTATGGTAACCAACAGAGTACACGCCCTGTTAGGTTTACTTACGTTTTGAGTTTTAGTTTGAATTAAAGTTTCGATTTCCGTGGTGATATCATTTTATTACGACTTTACCACGGCAATACCATTAAAATCTCCATGACAGTCTCGAATTGCGTCATTCAAAAGACATTGCGACGGACTTTAGATTGCGTTAGTCCCACGATTAACAACGTAGTGTTCTGCATAAGAATTGTTGATCACCTAAACTGCATCCATTACCATCCCTCCCTCCCATTAAAAACTATAATATCTAGGAGAAAAAAGCGAAAAAGGGATCCGTGTTACCATGGATGGCCTCCGTGTCGTTTCTGTGGACGGGCGTTCTTGTGTGAACCCGCTAATCGGAACAATCTAAAAAATAACATACGAGGAAAAGTTTTCAAATTTTACTGATGATTCAGTGAAAAGCCAGAAGACTATATTCATTTCCTGGCTAAAAGCAATTTCAAATTCTGGGCTCCTGATTTCGGACGTTTACTGAGGGTTACCAATATCAGTTGCGCCTGATGATTCATGAATTCAGAATTGTGACATGAAAAACAAACAAACGAACAAACAAACAGTCAAACCGGAGGTTCTCTGGAGAGCGCCTGCTGTCCATCCACTGTGCTGGTCAACGGTTTTCCACTCGAAGTCATCTCGGTCAGTCTTTGATCAAGTCTTCCAAGGAGGCGGATAATGTTTTGCAACCTATCAATTAAAAGAAGCACCCCGGTTATTTCGTTACTCCCGTGTTCGCAGCATTCCATATGGCACTTAAGAAAAAGCATAGCACAGAGTTAGAGAATAGGCCATATTCGAATTCTCGGAATGCACTGTAACTAGCTTGCAATTGAGACAACTGAAAAAATGCGAGGAGTTTTTTCAAATGCAAATTATATTAATCTCCTTTTTAATGACATTCCCTCGCATGAACCTCCATTGCAAGCTAGTTCCAGTTCAATGTCGGGAATACAAACAGGGCATATTATATGACCACATAAGATTGCTACGGGAAAGACCGGTCGCGAGTTTCACACTAGTCTTCGTATCTATCAAGGACTTTCTTAGATCAGAACCGTTGCTGGTAGCACGTGACTAGCACGTTTCAAACACGGCGTTACCTGCCAAAAATATCCTGTTATAATATGTTCTATCGACATTAGTTTACTGTTAATGTGGATAGTTTCATGCAAAACGTTTGTAATATGACTAAATAACTCAGTGGAATAACTCAATGGAATGTTGGAAGTACAGGGCTTTAGACTGTAACAAAAAAATCTCAGTTTGTTCTAAATTCCTTCAGTATTCCATTCATACCACCTTTCTGCATATTTGCACAAAGGGTGGGGTTAAAACTTTCGCAAAAGATTTAGAAACAAGCTTAACATTACTGACTTGTCTTCTTGTTGGTCGACCTTGTCAGCCAGTTTGGTGACCTTGTCACTGATTTGTAACAGAGCTGGATTCACATATGTTTGCTGGTTTGCTGTGTGTTTCTTGGGCGAACCAAATTCCACAAGCTGCAGAAAAAATTAAACCAGAGCCTTTAGGGGCCACATTACAACATTGACCACACTGCTTTGGAAAACTCAGTATGGAATTGAGATTTATATAATAACAACCAGACGGTTTATACGCTGTCAGTTAGTCGTTCATACGTTCATGTCCCTATGTTGGAGACGGTGTCTTATGTTATATGTATGTATGCTATGAATTCGCCTGAAGGTCTGTTACATCTTTAAATGTCTTAGAGCATAGGCAATAGCCCCCTGTAGTTATTTTTAGAATGTGAAAGGTGTTGCGGTTAGGATTCCAGCTCCGGTTAGGATCTTCATAACGGATTCGTTAAGCTAGAGCACTTTCCTACCTAACATTTGGCAACAAAACCCTCCATGAAGGGTTTGCAAATTGCAGTTTAAATTGGCGGTATGCTTTTAGTGCTTATTTCTTCACTAAGCCGGGGAACGTTACTTAGAGATAATCCAGATCGGCTCAATGATCCAAGATCACCTGGATCGTGCTGCACCTGACCGGCCGATGAGTCAATCCACTCTGGCCAAGGATTCATCGGTTCCTTTGCTGCACCATGATCCGAGTGATTCTGGATCATAGACAGATTCGGCTAACGTGTTTACACCCTTGTTGTCACCCAATTCAGATCAAGCGATGGTTCATTTGAGAGGTAACAATTTCTGTTTGTATATACTCCCATGCAATCACTTGCGTGTGGCAAATTGCACAATTGTAACCTCCCAAATCAATAACCAACTGACCTGAATTGGGTGGCAACGAGGATGAAAACACATTAGCCGAATCCGTCTACTGATCCTGGAACAGATCATCCCAAAGAAACACACCCCATATTGACTCTTACCTTTTGCCTCCATGTTCGTTTTCTGTTGGGATACTCCACGCAGTATGGAACCCAGATCTTTCTGAGAACTTTTCTAGGAGTGGCTCTTTCTAATTCTAAAAGCAGTTCAACCTTGAAGACAAATCCATGAATCATTATAATAATTAGACTAGAGTACTCAGTTTATCAAGACGCACAAAACGCCAGTTATAACATTGCCAGTTTACTCTATACTTTTGGCGTTTAAGCTAAAGGTGTCAAACACGCCAAGTTAAGCAAAGCCGACACAAAGTAGAATTTAACTTGATTTACCATAATATTTTGGATGGCCACTTCCAGTCTTCTTTAGGTATAGAGGAAAAAGTACGAAATATTTCATACCCATGTGTGTTTAAGTGTACTACATACCTACATGTTATGTATAGGATAAGCTGACAGGCTTTGATATGTTTTCAGGTTTCATTACGGACATTTAAGCCATATCGGTCAAGTGTTTTAGCTTGGATAATAAGGGTAGCTTCCCTGCATTTACGAAAAGAATCAGTCGAAAGGAACGTTTTCAATAGGAACGAGTTGCATGTCGGACGAAGTGCGATTAGGGAAGAAAGAAAGAGTTCAGAAACTGTGGAAGGTTTGGATCTTGTGTCAGGGTATCGTTAAATCTGTCCATCAAACGTCTCTTTATTTCTCTTATGAATTGTAAATTACAACAGTTGCATTGTATTATGTAGATGAAATTTAGAGAGACTGACACGGAACTGAAGGCTTCACAGTCACTCATAGTTCACCAACCTGCATTGCATGTTGTTCCATTTTGGCGGACTGGAGAATTCTATTTACGTCACCAACGGATAAACCAATCTGCAGGAGATTATTTAATGTATCCCATAGATTACATTATCCCGTCTTTGCAGTAATTAACGATTCTTATATAGTGCATTTGAGTGACCAATGGACTGTTTGAGTGCCTCGTAACTGGCGAGAAAATTTGAAAGGAACTCTGTCTGTTTCAGGGTCTCTGTGTATGTGTTGTTTAGCAATACAATTTTTTCAGAACCCTACCTCCACCGAGGATTATAAACTAGTACCAGTAAATTTGTGGAGGCGCGGTAGCCTAGTGCGCTAAACTCCGGATCACGACAGAGTGCTCCGTGTTTGAGCCCTGGTCATTGCATTGTATTCTTGGGCAAGACATTTTACTCTTACAGGTTCTCTCTCCACCCAGGCATATAAATGGGTAACGGCGAATTTTAATGTTGGGAGGGGAGCGGAGGGGTTCGGTACCCTGCGATGTACTAGCATCCCATTCACGGGGGACTAGAAATACTCCGAGTCGCTTCCTGCTACAGAAACCGGAATAAGCTACGGCCACTGGCCTGACGCAAAACCTTTACCTTTAACTATCGGGAACTCTTAAGGCAACCCATCATAATATTAGGAGTAACCTCAATGGGCGTCAGAGTACTTCTAGATGCTTCAACGACTTCTTGAAGCACTAGGCTAGCTGACTTTACCTTTTGAATAGAAGAAGGCGCCTTAACACTTTNGTGGGCTCACTTCTTTCGGAGGTCGTTACTTACGGACTTTTACGATTCGTTGCGTGCACGAGCCATTGGCCAAGCCATTGGCCAAGCCATTGGTATCCTAATTTGGCCTAACCAGCTCAAATCACACAATTGTCTCATTTGGCCCAGCCGGCTCATATAACACAAATGTCTAATTTGGCCAAACCGGCCCAAATCACACAACTGTCTCATTTGGCCCAACCGGCTCAAATCACAGATCTGACTCATTTGGCCCAACCAGTTCAAATAACACAAATGTCTAACTTGGCCTAACCGGCTCAAATGACACAATTGTCTTATTTTGGCCTAACCAGCTCAAATCACAGAAATGTCTCATTTTGCCCAAACAGCTCAAATCACACAATTGTCTTATTTTTCCCAACCAGATTTAATGACACAACTCTCTCATCTGGCCCAACCAACTCAAATCACACAATTGTCTCATTTTGCCCAACCAGATTTAATGACAAAACTAGTACTGTGTCATTTGGCCCAACCAGCTTAAATCACACAACTGTGCCATTTGGCCCAACCTGCTCAAACCAAACAGTTGTGTTATTTGGCCCAACCGACTCAAATCACACGAATGTCTCATTTGGCATAACTGCCTCAAATAGCATACATGTCTCGTTTGACCCAACCGGCTTAATTCACAAAACTGCCTCATTTGCCTTAACCGACCCAACCGGCTTCAAACCGGCTCAAATCGCATCCTGACAGAAATATTTTTAGATGAAAACTATATTCAGTAGCATATAAAGAGGCAAGGTGAAAAATTCAGTTGGAATACTGAGTTAGGGAATAAATATAAGATTGCCCTGACACTTTGTGCACGGTTGTGTGTAAGAACTAGTAGAATAAGGGAGGAAACATATACTGATCATTGCACAGTCCTTATATATAAGGGTTTTTATACGTCAGGATATCATTCCGTATACGTTATGTATGTATACGGACTCCTCATACCACCTTATATTTGTCATTTTACGAAGTGTGAGGTGAGGTACTTCCTGCGGCTGCATCTGTGGTTGGTCTCCTAAAATGTTAAGATTCACTGGCGTTCAATGAGCAATCTCGCGTTTGTGTTTTGGTAGATGTAGCAACAAACTGCAAATCCGTTTGCAGAACTGAACATGACGGAAACGAACAACGGCGGAAATCTGCTGGCTTAAATATAAAGGAAACGTGACTTGGCATTTCCGTTCCGGAAACGTGACGGAATCACGTAGACTTGAATTTTCACGTTTCCGCAAGACGAAAACATAACGGAAACATGGAGTTGCATGTTTCCTCCACGTTTCAGAAATACGGAAACATGTGATTTCATCCTGTGACAGACGCACGGCAACATGGAATCTATTTGTTTTATATAATAACGAAACAAACTACTGCAGATAAAGCTTCTTTTATTGCAAAATCTTTCAACATATCTCGAAAGCCGCCCTTTGCCCACTTTGGCGAACGCGAAAAAAGCCATTTGACGTAATCTATTGTCTATACAAAATGAAACAATCTCATTGGTTGCTATGTGTAGCGAAGAACTGTGATTGGTCGAGGAAAATCACGCCTCTGTCCAACTTGACTCGAGCGTCGCTTCTCGTGGAATGAAAACTTACAGCGAAAGCAGAATTGAACTGCGAAATCTACAAATCTTAATTTCAGGTAGACCCCCGCCTTAAAGGGAAACTAAGGTCTTGAAACATTTTACCTTAAAAGTTCACACCATGGAATATCTGAAAATAGCAATGATTTGCTCTGTCATCAATTTTGTGGCAAATAATTGAGACAACAAAATCGTCACTTTGCTGCTGCTAGGTGCCATTTTATTTCCACTTAATGAAAGCGAGGCTATGACGTCACATTAGTCAAGCTGTAGAAGATGGCGGCAGAACACGCTAGCAGCGATATTGCAAGCGATATTGCAAGCGATAGCGACTCGTCGTTTGAGTTGGAAATCGAGTCAGATGGCGTTATGCGCCTGTTTATGTTCGAGCCACAGCACGGCACCTCGTCCGAAGACGAAAGTGACTCGAACATGGCTCAAGATCCGCCAAAAACGGTGGAATCTGACGCCGACGAGACTATCAATTGCGTGACCGAGAGGCCCGAAAGTCAAACGGCTTGTCATCATACTGTTTATCCTGGTACATGTTTTAAATAACAAAAAATACGACATAATTGCTATGATTTGGGAAAATTTTTTATATTAATGCAATTTTCACGAAATAGATTAAAAAAAAAAACTGAAAATGTATGCTGCAAATTGTTTACCTGAATTGCCGTCTACGGTCAAAACATACACCTTCGACATTTGCTGACATTTTGCATTTTCAATGAATTACAAACTAAAAATATCAGCTAAAACAGTTTTTCGATCAAATTTGAGAAATATATTCCTACTATAAAGAAAGCCGTAAATTACGATTTTCACATTTTTTTCTGTAGTGTTTGTTTGTAAAACCGTGCCGCCAGTTCGCGGGAAAATTTTAGAAGTATTATTTTTGTTATTGATTGGCAGCGAAAAGCTAAAAAAGGATTTGCCACTTCTCAGAGAGCCTCCACCCTTCAAATTTGTACGGCAACATCTTTTGCTAGATATCTTTGCTTTTTAATTCATAGAAATTGCTTAATTGCAGAATGTCAACCTTCCTTATCGACCATGTTACTCCCGACCGTTTTCCCTGCATTTACTGTAAATATTACTGGGTTTCCCCGCAACCAAGATGGCGTCAAAAACCGTAAAATAGTAGAAAAACAATATGCTTTAAAGAAAAAAAGGCGAAATACCACACACAATTTTACGTGAACGCGAATTACAACTGCAAAACTTCACATACCTTAAGATCGCGCTCGTAGTCGTCTGATCTAAAATGGTCAGAACACACAAAACAGTTCTCGGGATTCGGTAGTTTGCCCTCTCGTTTGATCTTTTTGAGCGACTGTTTTTTTACCATAGTTTATCCTCCGGTAGTTTATGAAATGCAACCCGTCGTTTAGAATTTTTATAGGTGCTACTGCACCCAACTGCGAGGCAGTGAACCGTAATTCTGGCCTTTCATACTCGAAGGGCTACTCGATCGATACTCTTGCACGTGTGTAAAGGTCAGATCAGCTGAGGGAAATCAACCTTGACTAATGTTACGTCATAGCCTCGATACCATTCGCAAGCTGCAAGATGGCGGCCTTTGGTGTTCCAGGGCGGTAATTTTGAACGATTTCAAAGCCCCACTACTAAAATTTAAGTCGGTGCTCTACCTAATGACAAATATTTTTGAAGTACAGGGCACATGGGCTTTCATTTAAGGTAAAATGTTTCTAGATCTTAGTTTTCCTTTAAAGAAAATGCTGGAAATGTCAAGTCAGTTTTTGTCATCAGAGCAGCCCTGTGAGCCAAAAGGCTTGGACGTTGCCTTGAATATTGCAGGAGTTAAAAAAGTACGTTCGGAAAACTTGCGGCTGCAGTCAACCTGGAGGCGATTCGATTCGAGTCTTGAATGAAAGGAGCGTTAGTGACGGTGGAAATTTGTGTCGTCTGTGGTTGGTGATTATCAAATCAGGTTGAAATGGTGTCGGAGACACCTTTTAGCTGCGATACAGTTGGCCGATAGCTGTAGTGAGCTATACTTTGCCTGCTGCTGTGCCCTGAAGCGGACTGGAGCACTCGCATCGGAAAGCAGATTTTCAACGACGACACCACTAACCGCCTTCTCCTCTTTGATCTTTGACTTGAATTTTCGTCGAAGCAATACCCAGCGCTCTCTATCTTCTCTCTTGTCTTAGGTACAAAACTGTGGTTAATCTGTCTCATTTAGCTTTTCAGGCATAAAATCCCACGTATGTCCAAGGCTGACGCTTCCTTTCTTGAAGGAAAAATACACCACTGACAATCATTTCCCTGAGCATCAGCACGATACACATGTATAATGGTGATTCTGGATCAAGTAGATCTCCGTCTAATAAGACGCCGAGCGTCGCTCGGCGTCTTCGAGACCCAGTTGTTTGAGTCCAGAATCACATTATACATGTGTGTAGGGTGGGTCCGATTGCCGGCCTAGATCTTGATTGTGGCCCTAGATCAAGCAAATCTCTGTCTTATAAAACGACTCGCTTCGCGCGGGTTTCATTCTTAATCCAGAATTTTTTTCAATTGAACAGGCCGCCTGCTTTAGTATAAAGCAAAAATGGCTGCGTCAAGCTTTTCATCTGATGTGATAGAGATGTTTTACGGTCCTATCTCGCGCGAAGAGAACGCGAGACTTCAGTCTCCAGTCAGGCCCGGCAGGGATTTTGATTTTCAGTCGGTAAGAACCAACTTCAACGAATGGCTTCGTGTGTGGAAAATGGTGGTCCCAGAAGCCTATACATTTAAAGCCGACCACCTAAAATTTGGACAAAAAACGAAACCAAGATTTGCCGAAGTTGTACAAAATGAAATTCGAACCCTGAAAAGCGGGAAAACGCAGTTCGGGCTTAACGTTAAGTTTTCGAAAACTAGAGACGGTGAAAAACAAGAAATGGAGCACTATTTCAAACAGAGAGACCCCGAGGTTTTCAACAGAAACAACGAGACAGCAGTGAATAGCGTATTTCACCGATTCATCGATGAAGTCAAAGACGAAATAGAAGCCTGCTCTCAAAGAGGCTCAGGCTGGGTGGTAGAAGGCGTCTTGGAAGCCTTCGTTAATGTCGCCCAATACCAGCCCTTTCTTGGAGGCAGCTACATGCGGCTGCCCGAAAAAGCTACAAAAAACAAAAAAGCGATCATCAACGTCCAAACCAGAAACGACGAGTACTTGAAATGGGCGCTGCGTGCGGCGTTATTTCCGCTGAAAGACGGCATGAACGTGTCAAGGCCGTCAAGATACCCCACAGAAGACGGACTGGATTTTACAGGAATAGACTTTCCAACGCCTTTATCACAGATAAATAGGCTAGAAAAGCAAAACCCGGC